CAGAAGTGAAGAAGAGGGCAAAAACAAACAAACAAAACAAAAAGGTAATTTTGAAGCAATCAGCCCTAGGACGTGATGGACCTTGAGACCAGAAAAACTAGCTAGTGCCTGGCTACCAATGCCAACCACTCAGGAAAGGATCAAATCTGGAGATCCTGGATAGAGTGGGAAGAAAAACGTGGAACAAAATCCAAAAACTCAATAGTGACCAGAATTACTGGTCGGATGGAGCCTGGTGAGATCCTGAAAACTATGGCCCTGGGATACATTCTGGGCCTGGAATAAAACTCACTCTTGGAACTGGCTCTCAGCCCAATAGTAAACAAGATGTACACTTAGACCATGCAACCCAGGGTGACGCACCCACATAATCTACGGAAATGCATCCCTTGGGATGACTGACCACAGGGCACCAGAGGGGCAACATTCGCTCAGAGGAAATGCGGGACACACAAGAGTACATAACTATGAGGGGCACAGGGGGAGGAGGGGTTACTGGGCAAGGAGGAGAGGAGACTGGGTTAGGGTTAGGGATGGTTATTAGGGAGTGAAACTAAATGTACATGTAATATTGAATGTAAAACAAACTCTGCTCTGTGAAAATAAAATAAAATAAAAGACAGGGAAATCAAAAGCATTCAAATTGGTAAGGAAGAAGTCAAACTATCTCTATTTGCTGATGATATCATCGTATACATAGAAAACCCAAGAGACACAAAAACTACTTAGCATAGTGGTGGGAAATGAGACCAACATACAAAAACCAGTTGGATTCCTCTATCCCAGCAAAGAGATTGCTGAAAAGGAAATCAATACCATTTACAATAGCTATCCAAAAAATAAAATACTTGGGAATAAATCTTACCAGGGACACAAAAGACCAGTACAAAGAAAACTACAAAAGACTACTTCAAGAAACCATAAGAGATCTACATAAATGGAAGAATACCCCAAGCCCATGGATCGGAAGATTGAACACTGTGAAAATGTCAATGCTACCCAAAGCAATCTATACATTCAATGCAATCCAAATCCAGATCTCATCACCATTCTTTAAGTATGTGGAAAAGCCAATCACTAATTTAAAAGGAAGGCGACCTTGGATAAGCAAAGCAGTATTGAAGAAGAACAAAGTAGGAGGTCTCAGACTCCCAGATCTCAAAACCTACTATGCAGCCACAGTAGTCAAAACAGGCTGGTATTGGTTCAGTGACAGACATACAGACCAGTGGAACAGAACTGAGAACCCAGAAATAGATCCATTGACCTATGGTCAGGTGATTTTTGACAAAGGCTGAAATCCATTTTATTGGGAAGAGATGGTCTCTTTAACAAATGCTGCTGTGGCAAAACTGGATGTCCACATGCAGAAAAATGAAAAAAGATCCATACTTCACACCAAACACAAAAACTAACTCCAGATGGATCAAAAATTTAAATGTGAAACTTAAAACTAAAGTTCCTCAAGGAAAAACTAGGGGCAAAATGTAGGGGCCCTAATTTATGGCATAAATATGTCAAGCATAACCCAAAATGAACAAAAAGCAGAATATAGACTAGATGAGTGGGACCTTCTAAAAATTAAATTTTTACATGCTTCCAAAGACTTCTCCAAAAGAGTCATAAGAGAACCTACAGATTGGGAAAAAATATTCGGGAACGACATATCTGACAAGGGACTTATGTCTAAAATTTACAGAAAACTCCAACACCTCAACAACAAAAAGACAAACAATTCAATTAGAAAATGGGCAAAAGATATGAATAGACACTTCACCAAAGAGGACATTCAGGCAGCCAACAAACACATGAAGAAATGTTCACGATCATTAGCCATTAGAGGGATGCAAATGAAAACAACAATAAGATACCAACTTGCCCCAGCACTAATATCAAAGTTCAACAGGACAGAAAATAACAAATGCTGGAAAGGATGTGAAGAGATTGGAACTCTCATACACTGCTGGTGGGACTGTCAAATGATGCAACTACTGTGGAAAGCAGTGTGGTGATTCCTTAAAAAAGTTGGCATTAGAAATACCATTTGATCCAGCGATTCCATTATTAGGTATATGTCCTAAAGAAGTGAGAGCCAGGACAAGAACAGATATATGCACACCCATGTTCATTGCAGCACTATTTACAAAAGCAAAAAAATGCAGACAACATACATGCTCATCAACAGAAGAATGGATAACCAAACTATGGTACAGAAACACAATGAAATACTATGCAACACTAAAGAATAATGTAGAATCTGCAAAACACTGCATAATGTGGATAAACTTGGAGGATATTATGCCGAGTGAAGTAAGTCAATCACAGAAGGTCAAATATTGTATTAGTTCATTACTTTAAAAAGTCAAGGAAAGGTTTATATAGGGAAGGAAACTTTCTTTGTTGGTTACCAGGGGTGGGAGGGGAGGGGAAGGAACAATGCTTCCCCTCAGAAAAAAAGCAAAAACAAGAAAAACCCAGCATGTTCAACTAAGGAGCCTTCTATGGCACTTAAAAAGCCTTAGCAAGGTAACTTCTTCACCTATAAGGAGTGTATACTTGACTTACTAACTGAATTATTTTGCTGTGTAGGGCTTTTAATTATAAGTAAGGTGAGTGCTGAAGAATATCTACCAAAATTAGTTCTACTCTCTGTTCTAGCAGAAATGAGACAGTAGGGCCAGTTTATTGATTCAGCCTATTAAGAATCATGTTAGCTGTTTTCTTTTCTTAAGTACCACAGTATAGAAAATTATCTGTAAAAAACTGGAAGTTTTTTTTTTAAATTTAGAGAAATACTTTTAAAGTTGAACTTTAAAAAAGTTAAATAACTCAAAAGGTAAGTTCAATCTATGCATGTTAAAGAGGAGTGAAAGAAATCAATGACTAAAATCAAGAAAATAATCCTTGTCACTGAAAAAAAAAATGAGTTTATTTAAAGCAAAACTGGTAACTCTTTAGTAATGCTGATTCATTTCATCAAGGAAGAATTAAATTATTTGAAACCAAAAATTTAAAAAGTTCTCTTTTTATCACCAAATAATTTGTGCAGAAATTGTTAAATGGGAACCTATTTTGCTGTGTAAACTTTCACCTTAAACACAATAAAACATTAATAAAAAAATTATCCCCAGAGAGTAAATTAAAAAAATGCAGTAAAAATGTCATTTTATCAACGTACCTTAATAATGTTGTTGAGAAAAAGTGTCAAACATAAAACCATGAGTAAATGTAACAGAAGTTTCCCAAGTCTATTAAAGAAGCTTCCAGTTTTCAGATTTTTCTAGAAATTAAAAGAGATGACTTTTAATTCTTAAATTATAACTTCATAAACACTTAAGATGAGATCATCTAAGGATTTAGAACATTGGCTTGTGCAACATATATATGGAAATTTACATAGGCTATATAATCTACTAAGTTTTATGACCCACCCAGTGGAGCTGAGAAAGAAAGATCTGGTGATTAGCTTTAGTAATGATTGAAAAAAGAACACTGGGAGGCATACGAGAGTTAAAGGCAGCATAAGTAAATACTATAACATTCATTATCCTTCAATAACAGTTACAACAATAATGTATGAATAGATACATAGATAGACACTGTAGTTGAATAGGTGTGGAAAGGTGAATGGGACTACACCCATGAATATGTCTGTGTCTATACATATATGTATATATATGTGTTTGTATGTGTATGTATATATAGATATGCATTTATGTATGTGTGTGTGTGTATATATATATATATATA